CAGAGAGATGTTGGAGGTATGTGTGGGGGATGCAGCGAGGCTAACGTAGCCTCATGTGTTGTGTCCTGAATGGCTCAGCGAGGCTAATGTTAGCCTCAGTGTTGTTGTGTCTGGAATGGCTCAGCAAGGCTAACGTTAGCCTCAGTGTTGGTGTGTCTGGAATGGCTCAGCGAGGCTAACGTTAGCCTCAGTGTTGGTGTGTCTGCATGGCTCAGGGCCTGCAGACTCACAGACAGAGAGGACCACACAGGCTGAGCTGTACTCTGCCAACACTGCAGCCCCCATAAACAACATTAGAACAGTGCATTTGGGAACTGAGGACTTAGACTGCTTTTAAATGTACATAACTTTTGAAAGTAATAAGATGATACAAAAATTTACAAAACATGAGTTCTTCATTGTTTAGTACTTTCAATTACACATTTGGCTGACAGTAAGTGCCTCAGTTTATCTAGAGGTCATGTTCTTACATACATCTCATTTGTACACCTGGGTGTTGTGCTGACAGAATCTGGGTTAAGTGCCTGGATGAAATGCATTATGCAGCACTGTCACGCAAAACCCCTGTCAGAAATGGGATCTGAACCCACACATCCAACTGGAGACCAGAACACCTATTATCATAGAAGCCTACATACCTTGCACCTGGCACCTCAGACCACTCGGCCATCCTGACAGTTTTATTGCTGTATACTGCTTCTCAATTTTCTTTTCTTTTTATCTTTGCCCAGAAAAATGTTTGGTCTTTGATATTATTGTGGTCTTTATTCTTCATATAAAACTGCGCAGCTCAGCTGGAGGACTGCAGAGTGGCTGCGCAGCTCAGCTGGGGGACTGCAGAGTGGCTGCGCAGCTCGGCGGGGGACTGCGGAGTGACTGCGCAGCTCAGCTGCAGGACTGCAGAGTGACTGCGCAGCTCAGCTGCAGGACCGCAGAGTGACTGCGCAGCTCAGCTGCAGGACCGCAGAGTGACTGCAGACAGAGAGAAACAGGGCCATGTTTGCTGCAGAGCTGAAAGAGCTCGAGTGGGAGAGAGGGATGAACAGCTCAGTGATAAACTCTAGTAACAGTTCCATAATGCAAATACATCCAGCGAGCAGTGAAAATGCACAATAGCAAAACCCCCCAGGGAGTGTATATATATTTAATAAAAACCTTCTGAGGTCATTTGACATTTGCAAAACCCCTGCCGCGATGCAGCAGGCTCCATCTGGAACAATGTGTCTGACCGACCCCTGCTCTTTACGTCCTGACACTGTTATTAACAAGGGTACAAACCCCGACTCAAAATAAAACCACGTCCATTTCTAGAGCGCTTTCCACAAAACATTTGTCACAATAACCTTTGCAGCAAAACTCCCTCATAAGGAAACCCGCAGGGCAGCAGGGGCTGGGAGGAGCTGCCAGGCGGAGAGGAAGGATCCTGGGAGGAGCCAGACACGGGAGGGGGAGCCCGTCCTCCTCTGGCTGGCTCAGAGTGAGAGTAACGGGGTGTGAGTAAGTATGAGCGCTGGCTCAGAGTGTGAGTAACGGGGTGTGAGTAAATATGAGCGCTGGCTCAGAGTGAGAGTAACGGGGTGTGAGTAACGGGGTGTGAGCGCTGGCTCAGAGTGTGAGTAACGGGGTGTGAGCGCTGGCTCAGAGTGAGAGTAACGGGGTGTGAGTAAGTATGAGCGCTGGCTCAGAGTGAGAGTAACGGGGTGTGAGTAAGTATGAGCGCTGGCTCAGTGAGAGTAACGGGGTGTGAGTAAGTATGAGCGCTGGCTCAGAGTGTGAGTAACGGGGTGTGAGTAAGTATGAGCGCTGGCTCAGAGTGAGAGTAACGGGGTGTGAGTAACGGGGTGTGAGCGCTGGCTCAGAGTGTGAGTAACGGGGTGTGAGTAAGTATGAGCGCTGGCTCAGAGTGAGAGTAACGGGGTGTGAGTAAGTATGAGCGCTGGCTCAGAGTGTGAGTAACGGGGTGTGAGTAAGTATGAGTGCTGGCTCAGAGTGTGAAACACTGAGAAGTGTGAAACACTGAGAAGAGTAACCGTGTGAGACACTGAGCAGAGTAACCATGTGAGACACTGAGCAGAGTAACTGTGTGAGACACTGAGCAGAGTAACTGTGTGAAACACTGAGAAGAGTAACTGTGTGAAACACTGAGCAGAGTAACTGTGTGAAACACTGAGAAGAGTAACTGTGTGAGACACTGAGCAGAGTAACTGTGTGAGACACTGAGCAGAGTAACTGTGTGAGACACTGAGCAGAGTAACTGTGTGAAACACTGAGCAGAGTAACTGTGTGAAACACTGAACAGAGTAACTGTGTGTGAAATTTGTGAATGCCAATGCCCTTTATGGTACGTGTATGCTGCCTGAGGGGTCTGTGTGCCCTGAGACAGGGTGTCCGCCAAAACAGAGGATAAAATACTGCAAAGCCTCTTGGGAGCTTACGCAGCCTCCGAGCTGCCAGAGCTCAGCACGGCCCATTAGGGCCGGGGAGAGGCCCTCTCCACCCCAGAGTCGCGCTCCACTGCCACGGCGTTCGGCCGAAAACCCTGGAGGAAACCACGGAGACCCCGCGGTTTAAGGGCCGGGAGCAGTTCTGGCCTCCCGCAGACACAATTGGCTCACAGGCAGCCAATCGGATGGCCTGATCCATGCTCAGTTTCGGGTGTTAGTGTCATATCTCAGTTACTAAGGAAACGGTTCTGTGAAGCAGGAGTTTCGCGTGAGGAGTGTGTGTGGGCAGGCCCTTGTGCAGAGTGCAGTCATGTGACCAGGCATCTGAGATGAATATCTGGCGTATGAAGCGATAGGATGTAAAACCAGAGGTTGATATGCAAACACAGGCCAGGTGAGACAGGCACAGACGACAGGGGTCACCTGTGCTGAACATGTGACACAACATTTGCATCGAACCTGAGGACCTGAACACAGTCACACCAAAACGCTCCGGTTTCAGAGCCCCAGAGATACACATGCGTGTTTGCACACAGAGAGAGGCATCTTGTTCATTCTTACCCTGTATGGGAACTGATCTCCAGCTCTTTGATTACACATGAACACAGTTTCCTAATAAAGAGGAATCACGGCTGTTTTCATCTTCTGAATCGCCTGTTTCTTCGGTCATAGTTTGGGCTGCTCTGTTTCTGTGGTCATAGTTTGGGCTGCTCTGTTTCTGTGGTCATAGTTTGGGCTGCTCTGTTTCTGTGGTCATTGTTTGGGCTGCTCTGTTTCTGTGGTCAGAATTTGGGCTGCTCTGTTTCTGTTTGTCATAGTTTGGGCTGCTCTGGACTATACAGAATTTTCACCACTGTTGTCAGTTTTTCTCTCCACATCTCTCTAGGGAGACCTTGAGGTAAGAGTTTCTGCTAAATGCCTGTGATGTGGTTTCTTTTAATTGTATTTTTATTATGGTGTATTATACCAGGAGTAATCCCCTTGAGATTAAAAATCCCTTTTGCCAGAGAGTCCTGGCTGAAATAGCAATACAAAAAGCTTCACATATAACAGCAGTAGCAATACCTGAGAGAAATCAAATACAACAATATTTAAAAAAAAAGGCAGAAATACAACTATAATGCAGTGTAACACAACTCAGGAAAGATTTCTTTTGACAGGGTGGTCTGCACCTCGCAACAAACCAGTGACCTCCACTGCCCAATCAGGGGGCTGCATTCAGCCTGTACTATCGGCAGAGTGACCTCCACTGCCCAATCAGAGGGCTGCATTCAGCCTGTACTATCGGCGGAGAGACCTCCACTGCCCAATCAGGGGACTGCATTCAGCCTGTACTATCGGCGGAGTGACCTCCACTGCCCAATCAGAGGGCTGCATTCAGCCTGTACTATCAGCGGATGAGTCCTCCCCTCCATTGCCCAAACACATTGGCAAGAGAAAAAGAGGCCCATAATTTGTGTGTGCTCCTGCCAATCTTCTGTGTAAAGTAGAGCTTGAGGGCGAGGCCTGGCCCGAAAGCATCAGAGCTGCAAGTAAAAACACCTAGACACTATGCCATTGTCAATGACCATGACTAACCATGCCATTTCAATGAACCTGCAAAGCCGATCTTATAAAGAGCTAGAAACCAGAGGGGGATTTCTGGTGATGACAGTCGTGTGTGACTCTGACGGAGGAGAGTCAGCAGCACAGTTACACACAGCCATGTCACATGGCGATGACCTCATTCCAGGAGCCCATCTAAGACTCTCGTAGACAGGCGGCCTACTTCCTGTGTGCCTCAGAGACTCATGGGAGTAGCTAAATTAAGCGGACAGAGAAAAATGACATCCTTGCTGAAGGAAGCTGCATCAATTCTGGCACATTGAAAAAAATGGATATTAGTTTTCTAGAGCGAGCAAGACTGTGCGCATGAGCCAGACTGGAATATGAGCAGCTATGAGCATCAACCTGGAGGCTACATTAGCTCATGTTTCTATAGCCTACATCTATCTCAATGTCTATACATCACTCTCAGTGATCACTGACAGTGTGCAGAGCAACAGAGGGGCCTGAGCTGAGCACAGGGGCTTCCATCCTCACAGGATTCAATATTCTGCATCCTTAGTAAATATATGGCCCTTTTTTGGGTGTGGGGATATAAGATAAAGATATTCATGTTTTATATAATGTAAACAGTAATATTTGATAAGCAGTTATTTTATTTAGTAATATATTGTTAATTGCTGCAGTACCCGTGCTGATCTTGATTATGCAGAGTAGTGTGTTTCAGACTGTATTTAGCATTCACAGGGTCAGTCTGGGCTCAAATCATCCTGCTGTCCTGGGATGTCACTGACTGGGCCTGTGTGCTCCGGGGTTGGGGGGGGGGGGGGGGGTTTCGGTGGTCGCCAAAAAAAAAAAACTCTCCTCACACTCTGGCCTTCCATCAGACTGCTGAGGGCCTGGGACCAGAGTGAAACCAAAGGAAATGAGACAGAGGGGTGGAATAAGATCTTTCTATCGGCCTCTTCCTCTCTGTCGCCATGGTGATATTACGGGACTCTGAGAAATTAGATTAAGCTGCTGAAATCTTCCCTGTCCCAGACAGCGCATCCCATCCACACTCTTCCATGAAGGAAATCTGTCCCCACATCAAATTTCTGCCCGCTCCAGTGAGAGAGAGGAGTGGTGTGTGTGTATGTGAGTGTATGCACGCGTGTGTGTGTGAGAGCATGAGTGAGTGTGTGTGTGTGTGTGTGAGTGCATGTGTGAGTGTGTGTGCACGCATGTGTGGGAGAGCATGAGTGAGTGAATGTGTGTGTGTGTGAGAAAGTGCATGGGTGTGTGTGTATATGTGTGTGAGTGAGTGTGTATGTGTGTGAGTGCATGAGTGAGTGAATGTGTGTGTGTGAGAAAGTGCATGGGTGTGTGTGTATATGTGTGTGTGTGAGTGTGTGTGTATGTGTGTGTGTGGGGGGGAGCACGTTTTGCTGTCCAGTCCAGTAGGTGGCAGTGTGCTCTGTACAAAAACACAACTCACCAAGTAAAATAAGCACCAAGTAAAATGGAAACAGAAAATTCAACTAACACAAGTGCCATACTTGCAAAACAGCATACAAATCCCGTTAAAAAAATGTGACTCTGCCGTATTTTGTGTGTATGACATATTTCCAGCCTAACCCAAGGACTTGCAGCTCTAACCCTGTGAGTGTAAAAGTGCTCCCAGCAGGACCCTGGCCCTCAGATAGGC